TGCAAAAAAAATGCATAGATACAACACACACAGGCAAAAATTTGAAAACAATATTAGTTTGTTTTGAACCTGCCAAAGTCTAGACATGAGCTCTGCTCTAATAAATTAATGTAACATTTATTAACACCAGCATAAAATTATGCCTTTTAAAATAAATTTCATATTCAAATAGAAGTGTTAAATAGTCTCTAAATATCCAAAACTTAGCAATAAAATAAATTTGGATTCAAACAGTGTATTTCTGTATACTTTACACATATTTAGTATAATTTAAAGGAAATCCTTCTTTAGAATGCATATACTCCTCAGGTATGTACTAACAGTTTTATATTTGAAATTCATGTGAAAGAGAAAACTGTCATAATTATTTGTGAGGTTTGCTCAGTTCTTGTTTTTTAAATTTCTACTACAGGACAGGATATTTATACTTCTAAGATATGATGGTTTAGGGTAGCATTTCTCTGCCCACATTAAACTGCTAACCCATGAACTATCTTTCCTTCAACTCTAAAAGAAGATAAAGATAGAAATGGAAGAGGAAGAGAAAGGTTGGCATTTCAGAAAAGAGATGGCATGGAGGGAAACATAAGTGACAGATGGAAAAGGGGAAATTAAGAAATTCTTTTCTCATGTGACAATATGGACAGACAGACTTGGAGAGTATTATGCTAAGTGAGCTAAGTCAAACAGAGAAAGACAAATACCGTATGATCTTACTTATATGTGGAGTCTAAAGAACAAAATAAATGAACAAACAAAACAGAAACAGATTTACAGATACAGAGGACAAACTATGGTTGCCAGAGGGGAGGGAGTTGGGGAGCTGGGTGAAAAAGAGAAAGGGATTAAGAAATACAAATTGGTAGTTACAAAATAGTCACGGGGATGTAAAGTACAGCATAGGGAATATAGTCAATAATATGGTGATAACTATGTATAGTGCCAGATGGGAAGTAGATTAATCGGGGGATCACTTGGTAAATTATATAAATGTCTAACCACTATGCTGTACACCTGCAACTAATATAAAATAATATCGACTGTCAACTATAATTGAAAAATTTTTTAAAGGAAAAAAATTCTTTTTTAGAGTTTAGTTTAATACACACGCACACACACACAGACACACACACACACACACACATTTTTGGCATGGGTGTATTTTAGTATTAAATAAACTAAGATTGGATGATCAAGTCCAAAAATGTTGGGATGGCTACTCTAAATCAAAACCTTATTTATCTTTTTGACTACAACTTCAAATTAATCTGTAAATATCCTTTATTTTTAACTTTGTTTCTGAAAAATCTTACACTATATTTTTAAATTTCTTATTTTAGTTGAGAACTATTAGGTTTAACCTAGAAAAAGCAAAGTATTAAGTATTACTAGTGATACACATTGCCTTTTTTTCTAATATAGATGAAATATAACACCAAATATATTTAAAAGATTTTATTAATAAATGTCAAATGGAAGTGAAGAAAAACAATTTAGTTCCCAAAATTGGAAACTACAAGGATATCATACTTAGAGAAGAAAATTGCTTACCCTCACAAATAAAATTTCATGGATTTTGCATAAACAAATTAATAAACTATATCTAAAATAGCGCTCAAAGATGAGAATGCTGTTTTTTAATTTTTCTTCTAATTATAAATAATTTTTTATATGTTTTGCTTCCACATTTTTCTATAGTCTAACATTAAAAAATGTTTTTTTTAGCTTATAATTGCCCCAGGAGTGGAAGAGGCTGCACTGATAATTCGACAAATTGCTGACCACAATTTAATGACCTCGAAGAGAGATCCTCACGAATGGTTGGATAAATCCTGGGTTGAAGTTTCACCATCTAAGGTTTATTTCCTAAATAAATAAATTAGACATTTGCAAAGCAAATATAAATACAAGTATTTGAATTCTCTTTCTGGTAGCATATTTTTGTCCTCTTATGCTTACATGAGCATATATAACAATAACCATAATGCACATTTATTTAGATCATTTTCCAGAATCATTTTTATTTTTCAATTTCACAGAATTATTTTAATGGGATCTTTTATAATGAACTTTCAAATCTAAGTTATTACAAGTTGATCTAATCACTTCAATGCTTAATATTTTTTAAAATGATTATTTTTCTAATTCCTAAATATAAACATTTAAGAATAATAAATTTATTAAGAGAATAGCAATATTTTATCATTCCATGATTTGTCAGTAATTCAATTATATAATTGAAATTTAAAGTAGAGTTGTATAATACTTATAAGGTTAAATAGTTAATTTTTAGAAATTCCTTTTATTTGAGCATAAATATTTCCAAGTTCTCATACCAACCCAGTGTTTCTGATACTTTTATTTTTAAAGTATATTCAAATCATGAAGCTATAAAAAAGAATGAAAAGGCTTTTTAAGTACTAATATGGAATAATCACCAAGATATATTGGTAAGTGAAAAATGAAAGTTGCAGTACAGAGCATGCAGTATACTACCATTTGTGTAACATGAGGAGAAATTAATATTTACATGTATTTTTTTGTAAATTAATAAAACATCTCTGGAATATTTCATACCAAGAAATGATAATAACATTGGTTATCTCCAGAGAGGAGAACTGGGCTAATGGGGTGGGAATGAGACTTTTTATTTTTTAGTAATTTTAGAATTTTAAACCATGTGACTATTTTACCTATTCAAAAATTAAAATTATAAAACAAAATAAAACATCCATATATATTAAATCACAGAACTTTTACATGCCTAACCAGTACCTAGTACTATCAGCAAATATGGGTATAATTAACTATGACATGTGTATATGTGTGCAATTACCTTCTTACCAAGGCATATCCAATCTGCTCACATGTCTATCATTTCATAAAAATCAAAGAGGGTACAAAAAGCCAGTGTAACCCAGGAAAAAAAGAGAATATGGCAATAGTAGAGATGGTTGCTATATTTCTAGACTTTTATAAGATCTCTCTGAAAACACACATTTTTAGATTGTCAAGTTCAGTTCCTGTCAATAGAAATTCTTCCTATACTCTTTATAACAAGGCTTTCCTGAAATTATAACATCTCTTAAATATCACAAACATAGTTCATTGTAATCAAACAGTGATAGTTTATTGTCTACAAAGGGAGGGCTAAAGAAATCTTGAGGTCCTAAACTAAGTCCTCTAAAAGCTTTCTCTTTAGAAAATCTACCATTAAATAAAACAATTATCATTTGAAGAAGATGAACTGTATCAATTTTTTTTGGATGCGTGATCAGACTAAACTTGAAGATCCTTCCCAATTCTGAGAGTGTACGAATGGTCACTGCCAAGAACTTTCCCCCTGGCCATACTTTTTTTCCAGACATCTCAATTTGAGTGTAGGTGCAATGATAAAAATTTTAATCTGATAGAATGAGTAGAATAAAATGTGTCACTTTCAAAAGACCACTGACTGATTAGTCCTTAAACTCTTTTGTAGGAAGAAACTTACTTACTTGATTTTCCATGTATTAATCCATTGGTGGCTCAGCTCATGTTAAATAAAGGACCTTCACTGCACTGGATATTATTAGCAACTCTTTGTCAACTTCAGGAACTCCTACCTGAAGTTCCAGAAAAAGTGTTAAAGGTTAGTTATTTGAGAACTATATTCTTAGATGAGCGTATTTCCTTTCCACTTGAATATTTATTTTCACCATAAAGGTTTTCAAAATGAAGGTATCCGAGTGTAATTGTTTGGGACTTCACATAGTAAAGAAATAATTTCCTTGAACTAAATTTTATATGGAATTCTCATGGGCTCTGAATCACATTGTACATTTTAAAGCTATCTTACATAGATAATTCAGCATTGTCAGTTTATCACACTTTAAATCATTTTGAATGTTGGTGTGCCTACAAATATTCAGTTATACACTGTATTCATATGGGTTTACATTAACTCTTCCAAAAATCGTGATGCCCTTCATTACAATAGTGGAGTGAACTTTGGCCATATTGGTAACATTTTAAAATTTTTACCAAGGAAATGGTATTCATGTATAACTTGTATTCTATTATAAGTGACTAGAAAATAGATGCAAATTACAATGTTTTTCTTTCAACAGGGTCTAATTATGTAATGTTTTTATTATATGGGTTAATATAATACCTATGAATAAACTACTTATTTATATTTTACCTCCTTTCCATATAGATAAGCATTATTATTTATTAAGTTCATATTGTATTCATATTGTATTAACTAATTTTTTTAATTTTTTAGCATTTTTGTGGCACCACTTCTTTATTCAAGATTAGTTCTCCTTCCACAACAAAATCACCTCAAATTTCATCACCTCAGGAAAACAGGAATCAGACTTTTACTTCTCAGATTTCAGCTTCTGGCTCTTTGGAGTCTGTCATTCAAGAACATAATGAATATTACCAATATTCAGACTTAGGAGAGACAGTGCAGGAAGACACAAGCACCACTTCAAATTATAACCCTTCCCTTATGGAACTAAGAGAAATGCCATGTGTTTTACCACCGCTGACTTCTTACAGTCAGACCAGCTACTGGAAAGACTCCTGTTGTAATGCTAACATAGTGCAGAATAATCCTTTTCCGATTAACATAGACTCAAGGAACTCTGCTGGTAATTCCTTTCTAAACCAGAATGATTCACAGTCAGATGTCTTTTCTTTGGGTCTAACACAAATGAATTGTGAAACCAGAATATCACCGATTGACACTCAGAAGACAGTTCCTCCTAATTTTATAAATTATCAGAAAAAGGGAACACATGAAGCAAAACAACCTATCAATAAAGAAGTTTCTGCCCTTAACTTCTCATTAGAAGGCTCTCAATCTCCTTTTCATTGGAACTTTAAGAAAAATGTATGGGAACAACAGAATCACTCATTCAACTTACAATATCGTGGAGAGCAGACTACATGTGACAAATGGTACTCTCAGAAATATAATTTATTCACTAATCAGCAAAAATGTCTGCCGGATGAGTTAGAAGGCTTCATAGGTGAAAGTTCAAATGCTGGAACTAAAGAAACTTTTTGGAAAGAATTACCCTCTGTCCCCAGTTTGGATTTAATTTGTGCTTCTGATTCTAATGTAAATCAAAAAGAATTCAACAGTCTTTATTTTTACCAAGGAGCTGGAAAATGTTTAGGACCAAAAAAGCACTCTGAATCTTCATCTACCTCAGGAGACAAGAAATCATTAACAGGTAACACTATTCAATAATTGATAAACTACTCGTGAATGTAATTTGAAAAGATATAATAACCACTTACAAANTAAGCTTCTGAAGGAATAGGAACATATTTATTCATTTTTGTATTTCTGGCACCCAACACAGTACAAGTAGGCACAGTGCAAGTGCCAAGAACATACTAGGCTCTTGATAAATATTTGTTGTGAAGTTGAATTGTCTGGCTCAAAAGACCTTCCACAGCTTCCTACCTCATTCAAAATAGAGTTCAAACTCAGCTGAATTCAAACTCCTCCACAGTTGTCTCCTAGTGATCCTTCCTTTAACGTGGTTCTACACACCATTTTCTGAATATGCCCTCACACTCTCACCTTTCAGCCATTGCACAAATGCGTCATTCCTGTCTTCCCCTAGAAAACTGTTCTACATCCTCTTACCTCCAGCCTTCATAGTCTTGTGTTTTTCTGCCCAATTCATACACCACCTCCTTTAACAAATTTCCCCCAATTTTACCCTGGCAGGATAAATCTCCCCTTCTCCCATTTTTCCAAAAACTTTGTACCTTTGTTATAGTAGGAGGTATTCATATATCCTCCACCCTGAAGGATAAGAACTAGGCCATTTTTCTTTACAAAACCTATAGCATCTAACACAGTGCTTTGTACACGGCAAAAATATTCAACAAACATCTACTACATAGAATTAAACCAAAACAAATCCTGTTAAGAAAACGAACAAATGATCTATTTGAAATTGAATCTAGATAGTTTTGATCCTGTAATATATATTAAATGTAGAAATAAAATTCTTAGAAAAGTTATCTAAATAAATGAATAGAAACTGTAAATTTGTCTCATTTATCCATTCAAGTGAAGTTTCACCACTTAATTGGCCTCTTTTTCCCATCTCATAGTAAGCAGTTTTATGCAAAATATGCTTTAGGGTATATACTGAGTACATGACACTAGTGAGTGATACTGTATTCAGATATAGCAGCACGGCTCATAGAAGACATATTCCAAGAAAGGCGTTTCAGGATGAAACAGGAGGTACAGCCCAGTCACAATCCATTCCAAACAAAAGTTTGCTCCCACCTGGATCTTTCCCACCAAAAGCTTCTCAAGTTTTACATAATAATCTAAAAAGTTGGTTAGTTTTTCCGTGGAATTTGAGAAACAGCTATAATCAATTTACTCTTACTCTAATTATCAATATGTCACCAATTCTCAAGCCTTCCCTTCTCATGACTGATGACATTATTACATTAAAGGGGATCCCCTAGATTCATGTAATTTAGAATACATTGTTGCTTTACCCAACTTAACTTAGTAATATGGCTTTTGGTTTTTTAAAGCGTGTCAGTATGGATTTTTTTTGTTTTGTTTTCAGGCATCTGAAGAGTTTAGCCATAAAGATATTAAGTACATTTTCTTAAACTAAAAGAAAATACTGCTA